TAGGCAATATACTTTTCCCCTTGGCTTTGTTTAAAAAAATCTTTGTCCTTAACATTCTGTAGTTTCATTATTATGAGTCTAGAATTTAAGAATCGATTTCCTTTTATTTACTTTGCCTATAATTTGATACACTTCTTGAATATGAGGGTGTATCTTTCCTGAATTTTTTCCTGGCTTCATCATTTAAACCCTTGGTTGTTAACTAAGTGGAACAAGAGTAACCTAATTTCCCAAAAACTCTTAGAATAGGTGTATCAAGTCCCCATTTACCTCAACATGTAGTTTGTGTCTTGCATTTTGGCATACCATTTTCACAATGAAAACTGAATATTCAGATGTATGAATGAGCAATTTGTCTTAGAAGGAGGATATCAAAAGCAGAGTGGCAAAGCGGAAAGGGCAAACTCCTAAGACCCAGATGGTTTTCCAATTATTCATTACCTGGTGATCAGGAGAAAGTTCTCTAATACTATTGAGACTCATTTTCTTCATCTTAAGAAAGATAATGACAGTCCCTACCACTCTGGATTGCTGTTAGGATTAAGTGGAATAACATGTCAAGTTCCATCTGACTACCTTGTCTGAGGAGAGGACTATGGTCTAGTAACCACATGTACTAATTATCAGGATGTTTTTGCTACTTAGCTCCAATTCACTCTGTGATAAGCAGACAGAATTCCTTTTAGCATGTCTCCTGTGATGTATTCTCTAAAGAATAGAGAGATGCTGTGAGAAGAAAATACTTCCTTTGGTACAGTTGGCACACAGGTGGTCAGTAGCAAGGGTATGAGGCCATCCAGTGGTATTCTGTCCTAGGCCACATGGCCAGAACACACAGGGATCCAAAGTACCCCTCCAGTCCAGTGATCACTTCCTGCAGCCCTCCCCAAACAGGACACTGATATTCTAGGCCTCCCATGCACAGACACTCCAGTTCTGTTAGTTGTCCTGCTTCTTTGATGGAAACTTGATTCACAAGAATTCAAAACCTGAATAGGCTCAAATGAATTACATTTAGCCTTGATATACAGATATAAATAAGTATAGATATATATATATTTCGTTCTTCTTTACGAATTCCCATAGTGGGAATAGAATCCCACTATGTATAAATACCATGTTTTCTTAATCCATTAATCAGTAGTAGGACAAATTGTTGTTTATAAACACAGGTTGCTAACTTTTGATAAATGAGGATGACATCCACAAGATATCTATGACCAGACAGTGGGTTTCATTTTAAAATTTAAAATTTCTTTGGTGCTCCCTTCCTTAAAAATGTTTCTTTTAAAAAAGTAATAGGTGAGGAAAGACCACAATAATACTAACTGAAAGAAATCTTTGAAAAAGAAGAAAACTTGGAGGCCACTATGACCTGATTTCAGGAATTATTAAAATAATTAGATGAACGAAATAGAATGAAGGATGCAGAAAAGGAGGAAAACTCTGATCCATCCATCATACCATATTAAAAAAAAAAAAACAATCACTGAGCACTTGTCTAGCATGTACAAGGCCCAGGTTCAATCCCATATACATACACATATACACACAAAAAAAATTGAATCAAGTTAACTATCATACTTTTTGATGAAAAAAGACAATCCTTGTGACCTTGAATTAGGTAAAGAATTCACAGTTATAACACAAAAAGCTCAATCAATGAAATGAAAAAATCTGTTAAATAATAATTCATCAAAATTTAAAACTTTTGGGACTGGTGGAATGGTTCAAGTGGTAGAGTGCCTGCCTAGCAAGTGTGAGGCCCTGAGTTCAAACCCCAGTACCACTGCCAAAAAAAAAAAATTTTTAAACTTTTAGCTAGGTATGGTGGTGCATGGCTATAATCCCAGCTCCTAGGAAACTAAGGCAGAAGTATCATAAATTCAAGGCCTACCTATCCAGACCCTGTCTCAAAACATTTTTTTAAAACTTTTGCCCTTCAAAAGATACTATTAAAAGAAAAGTCAGACTTGGAGATAAAAACACTTATAAATCATAAATCTTATAAAGGATATACATCCAGAATATTTAAAGAACCCTCAAGATTCAATAATGAAATGTGGAATTTAGCAGGAGAATGGGGAGAGGCAGGAGGAAGGATCAAAAGGGGCACAAGGACACTTCGCAGGGGAGTGATAGAAATGCTTACCACCTTCATTGAGGCAATGGTTTTACAAGTATATACAGGCGTCAAAACTTACCAAATTATTCACTTTAAAGATGTTTAATTTTTTAATGCCAATAATACATCAATAAAGCTGTTTAAAAGCTAGTAGCTTATTTGGGATATATGAAACCAGGAAAAGGTTTCATATATCCTTTTACAAAAGGCTTTGTCTATTTATACTCAAGCCCAGTTCTTAAAGCCTTTTCTCATCACTCAAGTAGAAAGTAATTGCTCCCTCTTATGAATCACCATAATTTATGTTAATTTTCAGATATCAATTCAATGCATTTATCCACCATTGCACATTTTTAAAGTGCTCACATGGGTCAGGCATGGGCTTGCCACTAGACATACAAAAGTGAACAGCACAGTTATTCTCTTCAAGAGTTTCACAGTCTACACAGGTTACTCCAGAGGCACCTGCACACCCATGTTTATTGCAGCACTATTCACAATAGCCAAATTATGGAAACAGCCAAGATGCCCCACTACTGATGAATGTATCAAGAAAATGTGGTATCTATACACAATGGAATTGCATGCAGCCATGAAGAAGAATGAAATGTTATCATTCGCTGGTAAATGGATGGAATTGGAGAACATCATTCTGAGTGAGGTTAGCCTGGCCCAAAAGACCAAAAGTCATATGTTCTCCCTCATATGCAGACATTAGATCAAGGGCAAACACAACAAGGGGATTGAACTTTGATCACAAGATAAAAGTGAGAGCACACAAGGAAGATACGAGGATAGGTAAAACACCTAAAAAATTAGCTAGCATTTGTTGTCCTCAACGCAGAGAAACTAAAGCAGATACCTTAAAAGCAACTGAGGCCAATAGGAGAAGGGGACCAGGAACTAGAGAAAAGGTTAGATTAAAAAGAATTAACCTAGAAGGTAACACACATGCACTGGAAAGTAATGTGAGTCAACTTCCTGTATAGCTATCCTTATCTCAACTAGCAAAAACCCTTGTTCCTTCCTATTATTGCTTATACTCTCTCTTCAACAAAATTAGAGATAAGGGCAAAATAGTTTCTGCCGGGTATTGAGGGGGTGGGGGGGGGAGGGGGCGGGGGGAGTAAGAGAGGGGGTGGGAGTAGGGGGGGAGAAATGACCCAAGTATTGTATGCACATATGAATAATAAATAAATAAATAAAAAGAGTTTCACAGTCTAATGGCAAGAGTGATGCAGTAAACAAATAAAATACATACATATACACATACGTAGCAATAACATACTGAAACAATTATTTCAAGAAACATTAAAAAGTACAAGAAGCTGGGCACTGGCAGCTTACACCTGTAATCCTAGCTACTTGGGAGGCTGAGATCAGGAGGATAGAGGTTTGAGGGAAATGGACTGGAGGCATGGCTCAAGTGGTAAAGTGCTTGTTTTGTAAGTGTGAGGAAGCCCTGAGTTCAAACACCAGCTCCACCAAAGAAATTCAGTTTGTCACACATTATCTCTTACCACAGTGACTTGTTCAATGTCTGTTTCCCTATTGGTTAAAACTCCCAGAGAACAAGAGTCCATGACTCATTTCCCTCAGTAATCTACTAAATTATCTAGTACAGTACTTGGTGTATTTCACACATGCATACTTGTTTGAATGAACAGAAATATTTCACAGGCATCTTTGATTAGAAGGCAGGACCACCAGGTTGCTGCCTTCATAGTTGAATTGCAATCCTTATCTACTTTGTCAACAAAGGCATGACAATAGTTTGAGAGGAAACAAAAGCCAAGCCTAAATCTAGGTCTTCAAATTCCCACTGGAATGGTCATTCTCTTGGTGAAGAAAAGGAGGAGATGGGGATGAGGTGGAGCTCAGTCTGCAGAAACTCAGTACATTAAAATGACACCCATGATGCAGGTCCTGCCATGGTTCCCCAAGAGCCCTGGCTTGCTATCTAGAATTCTCCTGCTCAGGGGAATACACATGATGGCAGCCATCTAACCTCTATCATACCAGTCTCATTATGAAGGCAACCTCTAGGTATGTGTCAATTCAATCTACTATAATAAAACACCATAAACTTGTGGCTCATAACAACAGAAATTTATTTCTCCCAGTTCTAGAGGCTTGGAAATCCAAGATCAAGAGACCAGCAGACTCAGTATTTGATGAAGGCCCACTTTCTAGATGGTGCCTGCAAGTTGCGTCCTATATAGTGAAGAGGCAAGCTCGTAGCTCTCTGGAGCCTCTCTTACTAAGGGCACTAACCCCAAACATGAGGGTTCTTCTCTCATGAGCCAATCACCTCCAAAGGGTCCCCATCTCCTAATGTCATCACCCTGAGAGTTCAGATTTCAATGTACCAATTTTGGAAAAATATAACATTCACACCCTCGCACTGGAGCTTACATTTGTGACTTTTTGCTTTTGTAAGTGATGACAAAACTCTTATCCATGCTCAGTTTCTGGAAGGACAGAAAAGGGGGTAAACTGTAAGCATAGAGGGTAGGATAACCCCGTTATCTTATTTTCTCATGATCAACATATATGCAGTTATGGAATTTCAGTTAAGACAAAGGTAGCACAAGTTGAAAACAAGTTCAACTGAGAGATTTGGATTAAACCTCAAGAAGAAATCCTTCATGCTAACTCAGGACAATTCATAGCCAGAAAAACTTTTCTTTCAGTCTTAAAGATAAGGCAGATTACTTCTTGTACTTACAGCTACAGAAACAACAGGTCTCAGAAGAGAAAAGCAGTAGAAGTTTATTTAGATTTGTCTGAACCTACCACCCAACAGATGGCTCCAGGAAATGGAAGAGGGACCCTGGAACTCAGCATCCTCCTGAGCACTGGGCTGGGCTCTTACCTGTAGATGGGGTCCTGCATCACCAGCATCTTGCTCTCATCCCACGTCCATTCCTTTTTCTGCAATAAAAGAAGCTGTAAATGAATAAGTTAGGCTTGTCCTCAGCTACAGAACCAGGGCACAGATTGAGCTACTAATGCTTATGCAAACACATGCATTTTGCTTCTGGACTTTTTCCCTCTAAGAGGCTGAGAGCTGATTTCTATGAAAAGGACCAGTGGAAAACGTCATATGTCTGGTCTGATCAGTTTCCTCCAAGCACTTTAAAAGTGGGTCTTTCCAGGGTACAGAGGGGAGGCAAGAGCCAAAGAGGCCTCAGGGGACCATGGCAGACTCTAAATCAAAGGGGAAAAAATGACTACACATCGCTCCAGAGGAGTGGGAGAGGAGAAATAAAGCAGAGAAGGGGGCAAAGACAAGCCTTTTATGATGTGTGGAGGAAGCTGTCAAATGTAATGCAATGCAACCTCATCCTCTTCTTTAAAGAGGGTTGTGGAGATTTCCACACCAGCCAGGTAAATTAACTAGTACATTTGCAGTTACTCCTAAGAGGATATTCATTCTAGCTGTGATCTTGACTTTCTGTGAACATGAAAGAGAACCTCCAAGCAGCTGGGGATCAGGATAAGAATGGGAGTAAGAAAATTTGAAGTACAGTGCATGATGATGCAAGCAGCACCCCAATATGAATGGAAGCACCTGAGGTCAGCCGCCAACCCCATCCCTGCAGGGATCCCCCAAGTGAAGGGACAGAGATTCTGCTCCACCTTCACTGGCCTATCAAGATGGTGCTGTTTGGGAAAACTGGGCAGAAGACACTCATCTATGAAAGAAAGACTCAAGAGAGGGGGAAAAGAGTAAGGATGTACATGCTGGATTAATTAATGAGTACTTTTAGCTAGACAGATCTCTCAAAGAGAATGCACAGGGTGGCCACTCTCAAAACATACCAGGGTTTAAAGACTGTTCAGGAGACTAGAGAAGGCTATGTCACTTAGAGTGACATCAGGAAGAAGCATACTGCCAGCAGCTTTCCCTAAAACACAAAACTATATGCACCTGGCACACACAGACACACACAGACACACATACACACACAGACACCATTAATCTCTGAGGGCTGAAAACTAATCCAACACATGGAAAGAATTTAGACTAGTTTACAAGTATTCAGTGCCAATTCAGACACTGTTTTACAGATTACAAAACTTCAGCTATAAGTAAAATCTAATTATTTTTAAAAGATACATTCCTACAATTACTACTCACTATCCTATATTTTAAATGACCTATTTAGAACCCAGAACAAGGGTTGCTCTCTAACTGACCCTTCAGATATATAAATAAAGCAGGTCCAGCCTTCTTTATCACAGGTTTTGCAAACACCCCTTGCTTGACACATTTTCCAAACTTCTTGTTATCATCGTTGATTTTTTTTTTTTGGTAGTACTGGGATTTGAACTTAGGGCCCCATACTTGCTGGGCAGGTGCTCTATCACTTGAGCCACTCCATCACTCCCATATTTGACTTTTTTGGTACATACTATACTTTCCAGTGTCCTGCTCAAACCTGGTACTCTGAACTCCATCTCTGTCTGGTTCACAAATGGTCTGATCAGCATGGTGCAGTGACACATTCCTTTCTAGGCTGCAGTCATGTACTACTCTTAACCCAACAAAGACTGATTCACAGCACTCCCAAGCTGACTCAGTAACTTTCCTGGCATCTGTTCAAGGCTGGTTTCCAACTGATGAGCTGAAATGTTTTCAGAATTAAAGTCCAAATACTTGGTTGCCTATTTTAAACACACAATGTAATTGTACACCATGGGTTTTATTTAAACAGCAAGATATGATAATGTGTTTAAAATATGATTTGATCTTGGGGCAAATTTCCTGCAACAAATATTAAATTAAGCCATATCCATAGTCATATGACATTCTCTGCCTGTACTTTCAATTCAATTAATAATTCAGTTAGCAATGCTTATAACATACCTCTTTGCTATTGAGCACATCTGTTGAGTTTATTTCAAATACTACATTTTTCAGTTCTAGTATTCCATTTGGTTCATTATTTCTTCTATTTCCTTTGCTGAGACTTTCTACTTGTTTTTACTTTCTACTTTTTTACTTATTTTTTTACATTATTTACACAATTTTACATTATTGTTTCAAAAGCGTTTGGTGGTGCGGGCCTGTAGTCTCAGCACTCAGGGAGGCTGAGGCAGCAGGATCACTTGAGCTCAGGACTTCAAGACTAGCCTGGAATCACAGTGAGATCCAGTCTCAGAACGAAAACAAGAAGCCCATGGAGGAAGAATTTTTATGATCACCACCTTAAAATCTTTGTCAGATCATTCTAGAATCTCTATCACTTTGCTGTTGCCTCTTTTGTCCTCCCCCAACCCCAAAGTGAGATCTTCCTCATTCTTGGTATGGTGAGTGACTTTCAATCAAAATCTGGGAACTTTTTGAGTATTATAAGACTCTAGATATGATTTAAACTTGGTGTTTCAACTATCATCCTATAACATGGTTCAAACTGGAGAAGAATGTCTCCTTGTCACTGCAAAGGAAGACAAAGTTCAGGTTTACTACCCACTTCTGTTGATACCCAAAGGGGAGGAGGCTCTTCATTACTGATGGGTATTGGGGGGCAGTTACAGATCCCCACCAGGCTCCCACTAATGCTCCTCTGACTCATGGGGGTAGGAATGCCTTGTCCCTGCTCCCCAAGTGCCCTGCACTGGTACCACATAGTCTCTGATAAGAACTGCCCCTTCTGCAGCCTAAGCCACAGCTGGTTTCACCCCTTACAGAACAAAGCCCCACTGTCCCTTATCTACTGCCACCTCTCTTTGTCTGTTCCTTGCCCTTGCTTTCTCCCAAATGCTACTTAAGGCCAGACCTGCCTAGAGAAGCTGCTGCGCCATTTTCTCTCGGCCAGCCAGACTGCTTACTGAACTTCTGGACATGAGAAGCCTCTTATGAGCCTCCTTTGTGTGTGGTGTGTGGCGTTTTCCTAACAGTCTCCACTGATATCCCATAGGGGCAGGTGTGAGGTGGAGGAGGGAGATACTCATTACCAGTGGCACCTTTCTCAGTGTTCTCAGATACCACCTGATGAGGGGGGTTGGGGCACAACCCAGCTGTGGTGGAAGTCTAGGCTCTCACTTGGCCATGCTGGCCTGGGTGGTGGGTAGTGGGCAGTTTTTTCTGTGCTGCTTGGCTGGAAGATTGGTTACTACATAAAAGTTTTCTACCTTAACAAGCCACCCTTTTCCTCCTCTGGCTAGCAAGTAGGCTGTTTCCATTGTGTACCTGGGTTACCAGCTTCTTCACCTCTGAGTCTAGGATACATGAGGCAAAGGGAAAAATCAGGGTACTCGTGACTATGTAATTCCTGGGTTCCTGTTTTCCTGACCAGGCTATCATCTCTCCACCTTTCAGAATCTTATGTTTGTTTTATATATATGTCCAGGATTGCAGCTGTATTTAGCAGAAGGAGATATAGGGAAAAGTGTAGCTAGCTGCTTCTTCCCAGGAACCAAAGTCCAATGTGTGTACTGTGCGTAGTTATAATTTTTAAAAAATTTTTTTGGCAGTACTGGGGTTTGAACTTTGGGCCTCATGCTTGTTAGGCAGGCACTCTACCACTTGAACCACTCTACCAGTCCTTTTTGGTGTTCGGTATTTTTGAGATAGGGTCTCGTGAACTATTTGTCAGGGCTGGCTTTGAACCATGATCCTCCTGATCTCTGCTTCCTGAGTAGCTAAGATTACAGGCATGAGCCACCAGCAGTTGGCTTATTTTGTTAACTTCAGTTTCCTGAGCTCCACCTCTTCAGACACAGGGACACATGTCTGGCAATCTGTAATGTGAACAAACATTTTAGGCAATTCTAACTTAGGGTTAACAAACATTGAAGGTGGGGCTGGAGGAGTGGTTCAAGTGGTAGAATGCTTGCTTAGCAAGCACAAGGCCTTGAGCACAAACCAGTACCACAAAAATAAATAAATAAATCAGGTGATTCTGATGTAGGGTTGACAGCCACTGTTTATGCCAAAAAAGGGTTCACTGAAACCCCAGCCAGAAGATGTCTTTCACATACTACATGTTCCTCTAGAGTCTCAGTCAGGCCTGGCAAGGGACGGCCTCTTGACTCCAGAGATGGTCCACCCCAGGGCCTACACTCCATGCTAGTCAGTAAACAGCTACTGCGAATCAAACACTTGGAGGGTCACAGCAGAGGCTGCTCTGCTCTAAGGGAATGGATCCTCATTTTTTACAAATTTGTACTATCAGGAAAGTCTGCCCCAAGGACTCCTTGCTATTCCACTGTAATTTTCAAAGTTAACAAGAAAGTAAGTGATTCAGTGCACCACAGAGGCCACAAAACTCCAAAACTCTGCCACATCCACTGCCCATTTCCACCTACAGCAAGTCTGAAAAGGGTTCTTTCTGAGGAAAGCAATGTGGTTTATGCTGTGTGCATCTGATGATGCCAACCTTGCTAACCTGGCTGTGGTATACTAGACTCAAGATCAGCTGCCCATGTGGGAGGACAACCAGTGAGGGGCTGGCATGAAACTGCCCAATCCCTGAGTACCACGACACAAAGACCCACTCCTGTCCAATCAAATCCTCTCCTCAAGGAATAATAAATCCTAAACTGCATGTAGGCTGAACCTCCAGTAATGGCAGATAGTTTTTGTGACCTGCTGTACAAATTTCCACTCAACCTCATTATGAAGTGAAGGAGAGTGCTTCAAGGATCAGCTTGTGTTTCCTCCTTGCCTAGCAACAAGCCTCCATTATAACAGGTAACCTGGGCAAGCCTCCTTTTTGCAATTCTAAAGAATGTAATTAATACAGTCATTAAAAGGACAGAAACAACAAAAACAAAACAACACAACTCAGAACAACTGAGTGTTTCCTTCTGTGGTATTATTGAATAAGAGGATGGTGAGACCAAGCCTCGGGCACTTTGTGTTAATTTAATAAGAATGAACACTTGGCAGTGTCTACAGAAGCCAGAAAATACTGTACTTTTAG